GTGCAGTGAGGAGTTTGTTTGGGGTGTTCTGACTCACTTGGTACAGTCCTCTCTGGCTGAGTGTGGGGAAAGCGGGCTGCATGGGGTGTGTGCGCCAGGACATTTGCATGATTACATTTCAAACAAAGTTTACATAGGTGTTAATGGCTTACGGTAAGAAAGAAAAAGATTATTTTATCAATTTTTTTGAATGTTGCAGATATCTAAAACTCTGATCTTAATGATTTTTTAAAATCCTGTATTACTAATTAATCCATGGTAAAATGTATTGCACTAAGGCCAGATCTGTGCTAAGTTGTGGTAGAGTTCTGGCTCTTATGTGTCAGAAGTAGCAAGTACTAGGGAGATGCTAATTGTTGTGTGGGATGAAACCTTATTTGCAAGCTCTCTGAAACATACATCTGTCTACAAACACTGGAGCCATGTGTTTGTTTTTTCTAGGGTTTCTGCTTTTTTAGTTGGCAACACACAGAAGGTGAAAGTGAGACCTTTTATCTGTTTTTACAGGTCTCTTTCACTTGTTCTTCTATAGCATGGATCCTAAACATTCCCCAGAGACACTGTATAATATAAGTCTTAGGCTACACCTAGACTGCAAGCCTCTTTCAAAAGAGGCTTTTTCGAAAGATACTTTCAAAAAAGCCTCTTTCAAAAAAGAGTGTTTAGACTACAACCAGTACTTTCGAAAAAGCAAGCCGCTTTTTTCAAAAGAGAGCACCCAGGCAGTCTGGATGCTCTTTTTCGAAAAAACACAGTTTGCATTACATAGCGCCTTTTTTCGAAAGAGCACTTTCAAAAAAAGGCATTATTCCTCATAAAACGAGGTTTTCCGCGGTCGAAAAAACTGCCACATTCTTTTGATTTACTTTCGAAAGAATGCAGCAGCAGTCTAGATGCAGGGGAAGTTTTTCCAAAAAAAGGTCACTTTTTTACAAAAAACCCTTGTAGTCTAGACACACCCTTAGTGAATGCCTTTTACTCTTCTTTCCCATGTCAGTAACTATTGTGTAGTCATGCTCTCTTTGCAAATTCTATTTCTAGTTGATGCATAGGTTTGTGTAACATCTTAAAGCTGAGCTATGTGTGGACAATCTGCATTTTGGTATGTTTATTAGCTTGAGTTGTTAGAAAGGATGATGATACATGTACTCTAAGGCTACGTCTACACTGGCTTGATTCTCCGAAAATGCTTTTAACGGAAAAGTTTTCTGTTAAAAGCATTTTTGGAAAAGCACATCTAGATTGGCAGGATGCTTTTCCGGAAAAGCATTTTTTGCGGAAAAGCGTCCGTGGCCAATCTAGACGCGGTTTTCCGCAAAAAAGCCCCGATTGCCATTTTCGCGATTGGAGCTTTTTTGCAAAAAACAGTACTGTGCTGTCTACACTGGCCCTTTTGCGCAAAAGTCTTTCGGAAAAAGACTTTTGCCCGAACGGGAGCAGCATAGTATTTCCGGAAAAGCACTGACGATCTTACATGAGATCGTCAGTGCTTTGCCAGAAATTCAAGCAGCCAGTGTAGAGAGCTGGCAAGTTTTTCCGCAAAAGCAGATGATTTTGCGGAAAAAGTTGCCACTCTAGACACAGCCATCGGGTAGTGTTAATTTTCATTTTCATTTGATTTCATATTAAATATCATAACCATTTCTCCTTGTTAACTATCTCTTATTTTAATATATTATATTCCATACATAAGGACTGTTTAAAATCTCAATATTGGTGTTGCACATAAGAAATTTCATCCCACCCAAAAAAATTCAGCCTGCCCACGGATCGAAAATATTAGAAGGAACACTGGACACCACTCACCATCAAAACACCTTTACAATTTGGCAGAAAGTGAGACGTGGCAGTCTGCTCTAGGGAATTAAAGTGCATTAACATTCCTGTTATATCATGTAAAAGCCTTTAAAAATCCAACCATTTGGTGACTTTCCTCAACTAAATATAATTTTGTTTTCTTTATTTTTCTACAGAATTTGAGTGAGAGAAACTTTTTTCAAGAAGAGAAAGAAGATGCAAATTTTATCTCTGAAGATGACAGCTTCTTTGTTCAAGTGCATGATGTTTCCCCAGAGCAGCCTCGCACAGTCATAAAAGCTCTGCGCTTTAGCACAGCACAGGATGTCATACAACAGGTAAAAAGCTTTTCAGTTTTTCTTGTTTCCACTAAGTTCCGTATTAATTTGCTAGAGGTGGCTTCATACAAGAAATGTTAACTGAGTTTTGGTCTCAGGTAATGGAACAGATACTCAGCAAAGAAGCCTTTTGCGTCTGCAAGTTTGGACTGAGCAAAACACAGGGGGGTTACTATGTCTTTAATTTGTCTTTTTTTTTTTAACAGACTCTTTGTAAAGCGAAGTATTCCTACAGCATTCTAAGCAATCCTAACCCAAATGATTACGTCCTCTTGGAGGAGGTGACCAAAGAGCTAACGAACAAAAAGTCTTCAACAGCTAAACCATCACAGAGAATTCTCTCTGATCATGAGTGCGTATTTCAGGCTCAAAGCAAGTGGAAGGGAGCAGGAAAGTTTATCCTTAAACTTAAAGAACAGGTTCAGGTGAGTGACTGAAAACCCTTTTGTTAGTTTTAAAAATGGTATATGATCAAATATTTGGAATAGTAAATGAAAACATAGCCAGAGACTGTTTTTAATTTTAAAATGAATGTGCTAATTTGATTCCACTTCATTTTTACCAAATAAAAACCTCCCACACCTCACAAACTCCAAAAAGACAGATCTCCAACCATTCTCAACTAGACACAAGGTGAGTGAGAACAGATGCACTGCAAGAGTCAGAAGAACATTTTAGGCTGGATGTAGCATAAAGCTTCCTTGCAACATAACAGTACATTCCTGATATGCCATGTTTTCAGTCTTTTGCGCATATACTTCAGGTCTGATCCCGCTACAGCAGCTGTGGCCAACCCGTAGCTCGCAAGCCACATGCTCGCAAAACTGCGGCTCGCAAAGCTGCACCTACGGCCACCCCCCAACGGTCCCCGCCTTGCCTGTGCTTACCAGGTCAGAGCTGCAGGGTTTTAAAAATGGCACCCATCTTAAAGGGGCAGCCTCCTTTAAAAAAAATTGAATTTTTTGTTTTTGCTCAACAATTTTGTTCTGGGGGGCTTTTTTTTTTTTTTTGGTTTGACAATTCTGGTGTAGCTCCTTGCATTTTTTCTGCCACTGTTTTGGCTCTCGGTTAAATGGGTTGGCCACCCCTGTGCTACAGCAAGGGTTCTCAAATTGCATTGCATTGTGACTGCCTTCTAACACCACAAATTACTGCACAACCTCAGGAGGGGGGGGACCAAAGCTTGAGCACACCCAAGGCCAATGCCCCAGGCCCAGCAGTGGGATGAGGGGGGCAGAGGCTTATAATCCAAGCTATACTACCCATGGCTGAAGCTGGCTGGTGGGGCTCAGGCGTCAGCTTTGGCTGCGGGTCATGAGGGTGTCAGGCTTCGCCTATGGTCCAGGCCCCACCACGTCTAAACTAGTCTTGGCAACCCCATTAAGAGGGCTTCCACCCACTTTGGGGTTCCATCCCACAGTTTGAGAATGCTGTGCAAGAGGTTCTGTAACCACAAAGAGTACATTGGTTTGGCAGTACAGTGGCTTGTCTTTAGGTGCTCTGCCATCCAGTGCAATCCTCATTCCAGAATTGGGCACCCTAACTTCTTCTATAATGCACAGGAGGCGAGAGATGCTCCAAAAGGATGGAATTCACAGAAACCAGAAAACTAACCAGTAGCACATGCCGAATGGCATGGTCCAATCCCTGCCCCGCAACGGGGCTCAGGTACCTAATTCTGAACTGGCGGGAACGGCCCCCTTCTCCCTCAAATTCACCTAAACCAGGTCAAGCCTCTCAAACAAGTTGGAGACCTCATCGTTATCCCCAACACCCAGCAGATAAAGCCAGTTCAAATCCCCCACTCTGCCTGTAAATCCAGGTGCCCCTCACTGATGTGCCCTAACTACTGAGCTACAAATAGGGCATTCTGAATGAGAATGTGAATCTTTTCTGTTGAAGCTGTTCTGTTTTGTATAAAATATTTATTGGTACAGGGATTAAAACCAGGGTCTCCTAGGAGACAGCCCAAATCATTTCACTCTCACAGGCCCAATAAAGATCTAGATCAGTGTTTCCCAATCAGGGTTCCGTGCTGATATTTAAAAAATTCTTACAACATAAACTGACATACATATATATATATATATATATATAACAGCTCTTTACAAATACATTTTCTTGACAGTTATTTAGCAGTAATTGACTTGCGCTCCCCGCTGTCAATGTTTTCTGGCCAAGCAAACGTTTTCATAGATAGAGGTTCCTCGGGATATAAAAAATTATTTTAGGTGTTCCTCCAGCCAAAAAAGGTTGGGAATCACTGATCTAGATATTTAATACAAAGTGGAACAGCTTCATCACAAGATCAACCCCCTAATGCCCCAGGGGTTATGGCTCTCGGAGGCAAGAAACATAGGTTCAAGTGCCTGTTCCACATCCTGGTAAGTGGAGATTTCAACTGCGGTCTGCCACATCCTGAACACTAACCACTGAACAACTGGCTACCAAGGGAGCAGATACCTGATCTGGCAGGCATGCTCTCTGGTGGCCTCAGAGCATGCCTGCTGTTGTGGATGAGATAGATTGGAGGGAGGGGGAGAAAATGCCTAATCTGAGAATCCTGCCAGGCTTAGTTGGCTATGTGCTTACCACCAGTGGACATTCAAGAAACTACTAGATGTGATGGCAGCTGAGCAGGGATTTTTAAAGGTCTAAATTGTTGTGTTACATGAGTGCTTCCAACATTCATGTCAATGTTTTATTGACCTTGCTAGCTGGGAGGTGAGATGGCACAAAACTTACAGCAGATCACACAGGTTCATTCTCTGAAAGGCTCCAAGCACAGTTGTAGAGAGCAAAATGCTTTTCCTCCTTAATTTACTTTATCTAATAGACCTGTTGTGGATTAGGGGTGCAATCCACACCAGTGAAGGGGTATCACTACTTGTCCTGCAACTTTGGGTGTCTTACAATACTTTTCTGCTGTAGCTCCCAGCCTAAGTCACTATCCACTAGGAATGTTAAAATGTGTTTAAGTACCAATGTAACCACTGAAAATCTCAGCAGTTAAATTGGGGGGGGGGGAGAATTGACTTTCCAGGAGCCAATGCACATGGGAAGTTGGCTTTTAACAAAGCCAGTTTCAGATTGTTGGTTTATGGTATAAATAAAACACTTATTAATAGAACAGAGGTTAGGCGATGCCAAGTAAAAGGAATAAAATTAGAAAGAGTTGCAAGCAAATAAAAGTGAACACACACATCTAAAACTTAATCTCAGTAAGGTAAAGTCATTGTTCAAGATAGTTCCTCTGACCAATCTTCCTTCTCAGCCAGGGCTGACTTTCATTCAGTCAGGACCTTCCAGAGAAGCACACAGAGATGGCTTTCGTTATCTTCTTGGATTGAAAGTTCTTTGCCTAAGTAAGAGTCTTACATGTATTTAGAGTCTTCAGCCACATTTTAGCTGAAAGACCCATCTTTCTCAGCTTGCTAGAGTTGTTTTCCCTTGTACCTGTCTAGTGATGAATGCCAAACATGGATTTTTGTATTTGCTTGTATCTTCCAAAGCTATGACTTTACTCCAAGAGGCAGGAAGCCCTTCCTATGGACTTCCCATTCCCCTATATGGAAATGAACCTTCCATTCTTTTTATTCCACATATAATCATACTTTATATAGATGACAGGTAAATAGCTGCCTTCTGTCTGGGTGGGAATCTCTTTCTCCCTAATTTGGTCACAGACTTTAAAATGTAATATCATTAAGTAAATAATCCATATTTTTTCAGATAGTTTAATATAGAAATTTCTCAGTAATATTAATCACAGCATATCATTTTCAGAAGACTTCACTTTATGCACTTTTATAATACAGTAATACTGCATATAACTCAGTTGATTCGCTTGCTTATCACTTGAGGTTACCAAGCAATCATCTCTCCTGATTCAGGGTCTGCAGAGTTCCCGTGGTTTGTTTGAGCATGAACATACATGTCTATTGATGGGTGTGTAACTTCCACTATATTGTGTTACTTTGACATCATCATATTTACATGTAGATTAATAATGTAATGTCTTGGATTTTCTTCATATAATCAGTATTTTCATGTATTTGAGCAGTCCAGACTGAGTGAAAAAAAGTTAAAATTGATTAAGTAGCTTTTGTAAAAGCTGGGAATTTGAAAAACCAAAAAATGAAGGATTTAGATTTTACAGTGGAAGGAATTATGATACTATCACCCCAGTACACACCATAATTTTCCATATATGAGGTATCATTTGAAAAACTAATTCTTCATTAATTTTTGTGTGATAAATATACATCGTGAGTATTAAGTGTTCTGAACGTATGCTAGAATTATGACTAATGGGTGCTTAAACCAAGCATGCCAGGTGGACTTGGTTAAATAGGTCTGCCTTAGGTGTGTTTGTCCCGTCCAATCTTCAGACAAAGACAAGAAAGGTCTATTTTTACATACTAGGTAAACAAAGCCAACAAGTGAGGGGAGAAACAGAATGGAGTGTCCTTTACCCCAAGACTTCATGTTGCCTTCCCCACAGCTTCAATGAATATGTTGTGGGGTAACTTTCAGAAGAATACATTGCAATGGTTTGTTGGTCTATAAGGTGGGTGGGATAAAGGGTCCAAACCCAGGTTTCTGAGCTGACCACTCCTTGGAGGGGGGTGGTGGAAGGTTATTGAATTGCTTTCTTTCCTTCCAGCATGGGAACTGAGTCAGAAGTACTGTTACTTTTCTCTATACACTGCTTTTTTTTTCTGTCCTACTATCCCTGAGTATCTCAGAAAACTATTAAGTTAATCTTTGCACCAATTTTCACCTTTTTAAAATTTAAATCCAAAAACTGTTTAACAAAATAAAAAATTAAAATAAAGGGCCTTGTTAAAACATTAGTTACATTAAGAAAAACCTGTCAGCAGGCATTGTTGGCTCTCCTACATTGTACTGATCCTGCTACTACATCTAGAAATGTTAACCTTTCAGGACCATCTCCTGTTCCACCTCCTGTAATGCTGCACCCCATCTCCCTACTGTATTACCCTGGGCTAAATACAATTTCAAACAACAGCAGCTTTGCAGATCTCTGTGATCTGTTTCATTTTGTTTTTCTTTATTCCCAGACTGTGGAAAAGCAGCTGTACTGCTGTGTCTGGAGATATTTAGACTTATCTGCCACAGGCAAGAATATGGTTCCTTTTCCAGCACTGCACTTTAGGAAATACATTGTGATCACAGTTGAACCCTGAACACAATTTATCTACACTGTATTTAGCAGCATTCAAGTTCTCTAATTTTAAAATAATTTTTGCTGTCGACAGTCAAGGACACTGCTTTTGTGAACCTGATGTAAGGAAGCTATGAAAAATCCTGCTACTTGCCCTCACATGAAATCCAAATAATATTTCAAAACCTAAAGAATCAATGAACTGACACATTCCTGTAATTTAACTGTTTCTGCTGTGTATGTTTTTTTTAATAGGCAGCACGAGATGATAAAAGAAAAGGCATTTCATTTGCCAGTGAACTTAAAAAGTTAACCAAGTCAAGTAGACAGTATCGGGGCTTCACATCATCACCTTTGCAGAGCTCACCAGACAATACCCAGACTAAAGATGAAAAACCTGCAGGACAATATGACAGTATGGAATAATATCCGTAACTACCAGAAGTATGTTTATGCAGGTATGACATATGCTACTTCTTTGTAAATCAAACATGCATTCTATTTTTTCAAGGCACAATTTAGATTTTTTTTCCAGAAGCATAGTTGATAATCTATAGTGAAGTACAATAACCAGTCAAATAGATCATAAAGACTCTATGCTTATAGGTATCAATCACTATTGGGACAAACCTATACACATTCCTTTTCATTGGCAGTCCTGTTTATTCCCCTTGGCTGTGTCTAGACTGGCCAGTTTTTTGGGAAAATCAGCCTCTTTTCCGGAAAAACTTGCCAGCTGTCTACACTGGCCTCTTGAATTTCCGCAAAAGCACTGACTTCCTAATGTAAGAAATCAGTGCTTTTTGCGGAAATACTATGCTGCTCCCGTTCGGGCAAAAGTCCCTTTTGCGCAAAACTTTTGCACAAAAGGGCCAGTGTAGACAGCTGAGATTTGTTTTACGCAAAAAAGCCCCGATCGCGAAAATGGCGATCGGGGCTTTTTTGTGCAAAAGCGCGTCTAGATTGGCCATGGACGCTTTTCCGCAAAAAGTGCTTTTGCGGAAAAGCGTCCGTGCCAATCTAGACGCACTGTTCCAAAAATGCTTTTAACGGAAAACTTTTCCGTTAAAAGCATTTGCAGAAAATCATGTCAGTCTAGCCCTTGTGATAGCCTGAAGATAAATATAAACCTAAATGGCATGAAAATTGCTTAGGAACAGAAGAGTTTTACTTTATCTATTATGCCATAGTGCTAGGGTCCATCACATTAGGTAACCTGATAAATGGCCAGTCCTTTTAAAAGACTCTTATCATGTAATTTGGCTTCACCATATACTGTGTCAATGAGTTCTGTAGGTAATGAAGCATGCTAACAGATTTTTCCACATGTGCCCTTTTAATTAAAAAATCCTGCCATATATAATCACTCCTCTCTCTAAGCTGCAAATAATTGTTTTTTAAATCTCTATATAGAAACTCCATCACACGTATTTCTAAGAATTTTATTATCCCTTTCTGAATCTTTATCTTAAGCAAGCTAAGTGCAGAATTCAAGGTGACAATGTACCATTTCTGTATATGACAATCAGTCATACCAGTTTATGATTAGCACTGGGCCTGAAGTAACTCCAAAAGATTTCTTCGAGAGGTCACTACTAGTTAGGAAGGAAGAAAACCTTGCACTCACCATTCCATATCACATGGAGCTTCCATATTTCCTTTCCACTCATTCTTAAGTATCAAGATACTGTTTGTATTTATTTCATAAGAATTCAAGTAATAAAGCTGCCAATAATATTTTGTGTACAAAATTCTTTAAAAATGTATTTCACAGTATGTAGGCACCCATTTATCCTCTTGCATTTGAATTTAAATGCTGTCATTATCATCTCTCCTCTTCTTCAGGTTACTTAAAGACCCTAAATGGCAAAGGAAAAAACCAAACACAGGCAGGCAAAAACAGGGAGACACGGATTTCATCTTTCCACATAGCCTTGCATAACTGGAACCAACATCTCAAATACCTGATTTAAGATACCTTTTTGGAATGTCCATGAAGGAAACTGCTGAGGCCTAAACTATTCAGCACTAGCTTTGCCTAATCCAGACTGTGCTTCTTGATGACGGACACAGATCTGGTAATGCTGAGTGGGATGTTAGTTTCTAATTGTTGGAAAGATGCTTGCCAGCATTTGAGAGATTCCTAAGCAGACTTCTTAAATTGTATTTTGTAAACAGAAACATGCCTTTTTTATTAAACAAAAGATATTTTAACTAATTGCTTTAAGGGAAGAGAGTTAGCATTAAAGTGTTCTGTGTATTATATGAAAATAATGAACCTTTAATGGTTCCTGTTTAACACTGTTAGGTGATTGTAAAAATGTATTTACATATAATGTAACTTTCTTGGCATCACAGATTTAAATTTGGTGATATACTTAAAATGCTTACTATAGTTATTTATGGATTATCTACTTTCATAAAATAATCATGTACAAATAGCTAAATACACCTAACTGATAGTGATATTTTGACCAGGAACAACATTTTCTTCATCTAAATTCTAGTTTTGAAGACTTGAGTTTCAAGTAAAAATGATTATTTATTTTCATGTTCCAAGGTCTGTACCAGCGTGTAATATATTTATCATACCTTACTTTTTAAACACTGCAGATTCTTTTGGGGGGGAGGCAAACATAGTAATTATTTTCTGTTTGAAAAGAAACATTCAAAAAAAGTAACTATTTGAAATTGACCAAAATATAATGGTGTTTGAAAATTGTTATTGCTTAATGTTTCAATTGTGAAATCAGGGTAAAGTAATTTCTCTACATTACAGTGGTTGTTAGATGACTATAAAATTTAGATCGAGAATGAAAAATATTGTAAATAAGAAAATGATTTTCCTCTTATACTCATTGTGTAAAGAACCCAGGCTACTCAATTCATTTTCCAATATAAACCTTAACTTTTTGTTTATGTAGAAGCACTGCTGTAAACTTTTGTATATGTTTGAAATAACGATCTCTTGATATTTTTAAGAAGTGTTAATAATAGCTATATCATCTTCTCCAGGCTGAGTCAAAACATGCAAAGTGTTTATTAGTAAAAAGAAGTTCACACTAACTTATACAAAGTAAGGGCACAACTGAAACAACTGCTGAGGTCACCCATCCTTTGATGTTCATACATAAGACCCTTGTCTTATATCTAAAGTGCTCGGCCCAACCTTTGGCTACACTTCAGACAATAAGTCTGATGTAGAATTGTCAAATCAAGTTAACTAAATTAAAAGGACAGTCAAGAGAAGAAAGGCTCCATTAAAACAATCTGAAACTGAATGAAATGCAGGGAGACTATTCAGGCAGTCTGATTAGCTAATACACAGGAGTATTCTCTGTGCTGGAGAGTATACGGTCAATGAAATACCATCTAGCACAAACTGCTGCTGTTTCTAAGACAGACATTACAGATAGATATAGATTTTCACAAAATTACAATCTAACCAAGGCATTGTGATTGCTGCCTCCACGAAATAAACGTAAAATTAAAAGAAAACAACTTATGGCTTTGCTTTCTAAGTGTGGAGACACTATGCTGCCTTTAAGTAAAAGCAGCTGTCACTCTTCTGTGGGCAGGAAGTGCCCTCATCAGGCTGATTCCAAAATAAGAAAAAAATTAAACTGCACATCCAAAACTCACCCAATAGTCATTCACTGGCCAGTCAAAATATTGAACCCATGAACTTACATTCTTATTTTGAAATTCACCTGTCTTTATCCCACTTTAAAAATCAGTAACCATACCAGCTAATCCTCTTACTGTTTTAAATTCTGAAAAATGAGCAGTATTTTCAAGCATTGCTATGTCATTTATTTAAACATGGTTTTTAGATTACTGATGAGTTTGAAAAGTGAGTAGGCATGTAAAAGCCACTTTTTTTTACAGAACACATGAGCGTAAGCTGCTTAGGTTTTTATGAAAATCCTGTTTTTTGAAAATGGGATTTAGACCTCTAAATTACTTCAGATTTTAGGTCAAATTTTCCAGGAATGTTTAAGTCTCCTCCTGTTTATGATGAGCAAAAAAGCTCTTTGGAATTCCTTATCATGCTCTTCTATCTAGTCCTTCCATATCTAATTCTAAAGTAACCAGACCTAGTAACCAGTGAGAGGGGTACAGAAAATTCAGTTTCTGTGGCACATAATGCAGAACTGATATTTATGTTAAATTACAAGATCTTGTATAAACTTAAAAAACAACAAATAGTCTGGTAGCATTTTAAAGACTAATACAACATGTAGATGGCTAGATTGTTAGTCTTTAAAGTGCTACCAGACTATTTGTTGTTTTTTAAGTTTAACCTGTACAGACTAACTCAGCTATCCCTCTGAAGCTTAAGATCTTATATATGTGCATTACCCCTTCAAGTAATATTTGCATCAATAGTATTTAACTACTGTATATCTTCCATGCAACCTTTGGATGAAAGTCTGATCCCCTTTTTAAAAAAGTTCTTTATATAAAGATTTTGTTATAGAATGTGAAATTGCCAGAGTTTAGAATATTGGTTGTTAAATGCACTTGAAAATACCCGTGCTTTTGATGAACAGATTCTGCCTAATTTCAGTAGCACTGATTGTAAGGTGGTTGGTTCCTGCCAAGTTTGGGCACCAGTGTTAAGTACAGTTTTGGGAAAAACGTGTAAATCTACTACAGATCCAGCAGAGGGAGAGCTCTCGTGTGTATGCCACAAACAATTTTATTTCTTACTGCTACTAGACTTGAAAGAAAATTTAGATGAGGTCATCCTCAACATCCTAGTTTATAACATGGTAAAATATGGCATCCATTAAAGAGCAACAATTCTGCATTATTTGTGACATACCCTCATTGTGTAATTGAATATGGTTTAGCATAAGGACAGTTTTTCTTTGATAGTTATTTTAGCTTTGCCCAGCTGTTGTCAATACTTACAGGCCACAGGATAAAATCTACTTCACACTGCTGTGAAAGCAAAGTGGTAACAAGATAATCTAGCATTTTGCATGCTCAGTTAAAAAAGGGCAGGGGAACCTTTTTTGGGTTGGGGGCCACTGACCCACAGAAAAATCAGTCGAGGGCAACACACAAAAACATCATTTATGTGGCGCCCGACTGAGAAGGAGAAGCACATTCCCCTGATATACCAGAGCCTAGTGGAGTCCAGCCTTGTAGATCTTGTGTGTGTTCCAGTACTGTCTGTGTGTGAGGTAGTGGAGGGACTGGAGCGCCAGCATAAGCTCCCCAATTCAGGGGGGGGCCTAAGCCTCAGGTGCTGGATCCAGGCAGGTAAGGGGCTGCATCCAGCCCCTGGGTCTGAGGTTCCCCACCCTGTGTTAAAAAATCATTTTAGGGAGGTGGGCATGTTAAGAATTTTCCCAGACTGATTATACTGAATTAGGGTGGGGTTTTTTCCATTAATGTACATCAATTTATTGATGTTTTTAAAAAATAGGGAGCCTGATGATTAATCAACACATTATTTGTTGCATTTCTGCATTAGTTAATTGCATTCATGTGGTTTTGGTCACAGACAAAGTAGAGGGAGCACACAAGCTTTTCATTGGTCTAAAAATTCCCAAAAATATAAGTTAGCTCTTTGCTATGCAGCTTTCTGTTTTGGTAGCTTGCTTACAACACCATAAACAGATTTAACATCATGCTGTTTGTTTAATTGGAAAATTTGTCCTGCTTACTCACAGATTTCCTTTCTTCAAAAAAACAAGTCCACAGATACATATTAATGGGCTAATAGAGGGACATTTGTGGTTCTGCTTGCATCTGAAGTTCAGATTGAATGACATCATATAGATCTGTGGACCCAGGTTTGAAAAAGAAACATTTTTATTACAAATTTAATAGGAAATAATTTACCACTGCTCAGTATATAATATAAGCCTTCCTGAAATCTACACATGGTAACAGGACTCACCATGGGCAGCCTATTACCTGTTTTGCAAAGAAAACATTTTATTTTACACTAAACTGTTTTTTTTAAAGCTTCCTACCTATGTCTGTGTTTGTTCTTATGTATAGTGAATACAAATATCCATGCTTGTATGGGATTGTCATTGGAAGCCATAAGTACTGGCTGTGCTGCAACACTCTTCAGCTTTCAGGAAATAGATTGTTGTATAGGCTGCGTTCTATCAAGTTTTAAGGAGATAAAATACACAAAAGTAATAAGTCACATTTTAAAAACATACATCACATCTGGTTTTAGTTTTGACTAATATTACTTGGTAGAATGTCTCAATAATAATTGTTTGAAATAAAATTTACCTCTAGAGCAGGAGTGGGTAGAATAGGGTCCACGGGCCTGATCCAGCCTGCCAACCCCTTTGATCTAGCCGGCAGGCGTTCCCCCCACCCCCAGGCAAATCGAGACATGGGAACAAGAAGTCTCCTCCCCCCCCCACCAGGGGCAGGCAGCCTAGAGAGAAAAGCC